AAACACAGATAGGAGAAGGGCAAAAATAAATTTAAGAAGACAAGGTAGGAGACCAGAAATGGAAGAATAGTTTCCTGTCACAAAGAAGACATATTTGAAAGGAGTAGTCTACTCAAGACTTAATTGTGAAATACTAGCTCTATTATCATTATAATGAGAATCAAAGCATGGACGTTGGGTAACACTTCACAGATATGAGAAATGGAAAGCATGGAGCTCAAGGTGCTACCCCAAACTGAGGAATGCAGAACTTTAGGCGGCAAGAGGTGAAGTACGTGTGTTAATGTTCTTAGGTGCTGTCGGCTAGGTACTCAATAACAGTTGGTTTCCTTGATTTTCCCTTTTCTGTCTGGACACACTAAGAAAAGACCTGTATTAATTGTGCATTTTTATTTTCTGTATTTTTTATGCGCTGGCATCTGGGGTCTTGCTGACCCTGGAGACACTGCTCTTCTCAGACCTAGTTCATTCCTAGTGATGTAAATGACTCACTCTAGAGTACCTCTTTCATACGCAAATGAACCCACCCAGGACCCAAACCCCAACCACCTCCTCTACAGGCTCTTATGCTCTGGGCCACTATTCCTCTACTGTAATCACCCAGGACCAGGTACCAGATAACTAGAGACAAGTCCTATACTCCAGAGGCTGTGGAAGTTCTTCAAACTTGCCAATTCGAAATCTATATACCCGCCTCACTTGTTCCTTCCCGCAGAAACACCAATCAAGGCTCTTCCCCATTTTTCTTGCCCGTCTGCCTTCTGACCCACACCTTGTGTGACCCTGTGTGACCCTGTGTGGTGTGGTGTGTCATCTTCTCTTGGGAACTACGAATATAATAAACTCTCTTTACAATGACATCATCTAATCTGTTGGCCTCAGCATACCTGGAAATTTAAAAAACAAAAATAAACAAACTGCATTTTAAAATAAGGCCTGCAGCAAACTTGAGCCTGCAAGTAAAGGCCAACTCTGGAGGAGGTCCTGCCTCATATTTGCAGAGGGCTTGTGTGTGCTAGACATGGTTGCTTTCACTCAGCTAATCCTAATGATACCCCATTATTTAGGAGGACTATATTGATCCCATTATACAGATGTGAAAACTGAGGCACAGTTAGATTAAGTGACTCTCTCTACATCACAAAACTTTTAAATGGTAGCACTGGGCTCCAAACCCATTTCTATCTGACTCCAAAGCCTACACTCTTGCCTCCCTGCTGTCATGACACCACATTCTTCCAAGAAATGCAGAGGTGAGAATAAAGAACCTTCTTCAGAGAAGGTATGTTAGAAAATCAGTACTGCTCTCAGAGTGATGCCTACTGATGGGGTCATAGATGAGAAAACAGGAACCATGAAAGCAGTTCTACGTGTTCAAATAGAAAAACAGTGCAGCACAAATTAAGACATCATTGAGTTTTTCTTAAATAGGCACCCAGGCCAACATGGTCACTCTCAGAGGCCACATTTACCTTTTGGCCAGTTCCAATGATTAGAGTTGATGCTTCCTATAGGTAATTATCCAGGCTCAGGGACTTGTCTCAGTCCATAACCGGAGTGCAGGGAGCTCCCGCAGGGTTATTCACACGGAAGTACTCACTATATACTCTTGCTCCAACTCACAGACCACATGGCCTGAATGGGAGCAATAAGGCCTCTGCAAAGCTGACCCAGTGCTGTTGAGCAAATTGCAGAGCTGATCTCTCAGCATTAAGAGAAGCCCATTAGCACAACAGAGCTACTGTGGCTGTCAGAACCACTGGGTGCCTGGCCATGCCTGTGTGCTCTGCTGAGACTGGCTTGTCAGGGAGCTGGCTATGCCTTTGAGATAGATCAGTTAAGTTGTATGTACTCCACTCACTCCGACTTCTCGAGAAAGGGAGCTTTTTGCAGGCTAGGTGCACATAATAGGAATCATTCAGTGGCTTTGTAGCTCCTCTTTGGTGCATCATTACACTGTCCCAGAAAATGTACTAAATAGGAGAGAGATTCGGAACAATAAAAATCAGTATGGCTCAGGCATCAGCCAGTCGTAATGAGTGCAGCCCATTGACCTACTGGTGCAGCTTCCCCTGCAATGAGGGCAGGGGAGAAACTCCCAGGAGACAACATAAGTAACCCTCAGCCTGTCCTGGTACAAAATGGTCAGTGGTAAGATAAATAATGTGACACACAAGTCCAATCTGCTCCCTATTTTCTGGACTCGTGTTCATATTGTCTTTTCCAGTGTGGTCTCTAGACCCTGTCTCCCTCATGCATCTTCTGCAACACACTCTAAATGCTCTAAGTTTCCGTCAGCATCTTCCCCCAAAACACTCTGACTGAGCCCTCTACGATCAGAAAATGAACCACCCACCCCCAGCATATTGCCTTCTCCTCCTCAATATCCACCTTTCACAGCCCTATCCTTCTGGATATGGGAAAGTTTTAGGCCTGATTCTCCTGGTTGAGAAACATCTCCAAAACATTGAGAATTTTTCTTTTATCTATTTTTCTACTTCTCGCTGCTGTTTCTTTCTATTTTCACCATATCCCTTCACTTTGCTGTAATAAGATGCTGTGTAAAAGGATGGCTTTCTCTTGCCTGTCTTTCCAGGCCTTTATTTATCTTCTGGTTTGCTGCTCTCCTCACCCTAAGCTGAATCTTGATTGTGTTGAATAGAGACAAAGACGCTAAGAGTCTCCACAGCAGTGAAGGAGACCCTGTGTTTCTGAAGCTTTTTTTTTTTCTTTTTTGTGATTTTTTTAAAGCTACACTGGTACCCAAACATTTCTAGGGCGTTGTGACTGCGGAAGCTGCATCTTTTTTTTTTTTTTCTTTTCTTACTAATCCAAACCAAACACTCTTTCTGTTTGCCTTTTAATTTGCATCTGTAAAAAAGATAAATTGCAGTTCACAATTTCTGAAAAGTGGGTGAAAAAAGACATTTTAATAAAGTGAGATCATGGAAGTAAATCACAGCTCCTAAGGACCGTCAGAATCAGGTGAAAATGATTCTTCGCTATACAACTTTATTGTGTGTTTTTGTTTCCAGAATTTTCCACCAGTGATATCCTGGAAACTTATGGCTGGAACTCAAATTAGGTTCATACACCTGTCATGCTCATTCACCCTCTAGGCGCATGTCTGTTACATAGACAGAGCAATAGAAGTATCTAGCAAACGTGTGTTAATGTTAATTTTGCATCTTTCACATTCCTTTCTGACAGAAACTATCCACTCAAACCACATGGACTATTCTCTCCTTAGGAACTGTCTTCTCAATCCGGATTTAGCTACTTAACTGGATCTCAGTAAATTAATTCAGAGTCAATTCATGCATCTCATAGAGAACATAGTTTTGTCATTTCGTAGTTATGTGATGTGTTTAATTCCAATGATGTTTTCAAGTATAATAAGATCATTTTATTCTGAAGATCTAGGTTATAAGCTTTTTCTTAAACACACATATTTCTTCAAAGATTGAAAGACTGAAGAGCTACAACTGATGAAATTTAAAAGAATATGATGTGGAATGTTGAAACATTTTGAGGACAAGAATAGAACTTTGAAGGGGACAATTTAAGTGAGACATCTGGCTTTGAATGAGTAAGTCCTTGAACGTCTAATTTGAAAATGCCAACCAATGTTCCTGTGAAGTGAGCACAGTTTTTGAAAGTAGTAAGTCCTGGAGATTAAACCTATCCTTGACCTTGAAAAACAGGTGGCTTAACTTACCCAAAACTTTAAAATTTTAAGGTATAAAATGAGGTAATCATCTATGGTGGATAGAGTTATTGTGAAAATCAGAGCCACCTATAAAACTGGATCACTCAAACTCAGTCAAGAAATAAAACCCAGTGAATATTTCACATAGAGAGGATCAAGCACACAAATACGGTTACACAAGTGTTGGAAAACTGAGAGAGCAAAAATGAAAATCAATGACTGCAGAAAGCTGTGACTTTCCTTAGATCGAAGGAAGAAGAGAGAAGAATGCATGTTGCCTGAAACTGGAAGCAAACAGTGGGGTGCATTTGGGGGCTGGTACTGAGACTGCTAAGAAGAAAAAGCAAACCCAGAATGTTCTTGGCTCCAAATGCTTGATTCTACTTTCCAATCTACTGATTGGAGGAAGACAATGAAAATGTCATCATTGCAATGAAGACACTGCTCTCAGGCTGTCTGGGTTCAAATCCAACTCAGACACTTTCTTGTCCTGTGTTTTTGAGCCAGCCATGAGACCTCTTTGTTCCTCAGCTCTGCCTCAGTAAAAGGGGACAATAACACTACCCATCTCGTAGGGTTGGTCTCAGCATTCGGTGTAATGCTTGACACTTAGGAAGTGCAATATGAGCATGTGCTAATGTTGCCAGCATTATTATCATTACTCTTATCTTTTAACATTGTGACAATAGAAGTTCCTTTCCTACCATAGAAACCTGGAAGATTATAAAGTAAATATTGTCTCTTTTCACTGGGTGCTTATCTGTTTTGTGATTAGCTGTTCCCAACTTGACTATTAGCTCCTGAGAGCAAGAACCATTTCTGTTTCATACAAAGATGTCCCTGCTGTGTGGCACTGTGCCTGGCGTATGAGGCAAATGCATTTAATGCCTGACCACTTAATGCCTGAATAAAATATGTGGCAGCTCCTAATGTCTGGATTGGGGAACTGAATGGACAATGTGACAGTCCTTCATACAGAGCCACTCTGAGGGAGATCAGGGAAACCCTGGCATATGAGTTTATGAAACTGAATGAAGTTACCCCAAAAAAATGTACAAAATGAGAAAAATGCAATTTTTTAGCATGTATTTTATGTCAGGCATTGTTCTAGGTATTGAGGGAAAAGCTGGGAAATGGAAGAAGACAAAAGCCCTTGATCTCCCAGAGTTTACGTGGGTGAGGGGGCACATTTTGACATTAGACATGATAAACGAGTAAATCACATAGACTATTTAGGGTAAAGTAAATGCTGTGGCAGAAGCTGAAATTTGAAATATGGTTATCAGCACAGGCCAAACTGAGGACATTTGAAGAAAAAGTTGGAGGAAGTGAGGAAGTGAGCCATATGGATATCCGTGAGAACACTCCAAGAAGATGAAGAAATAGCAAATGTGAATGCACCGAAATAGAAGCTTATTTGATGTGTTCTAGGAGGAACAAGAAGGCTGTGTGGCCACAGCAGAGTAAGCAAGGAAGAAAGTCATAGAGGATGAAGTCAGGTTAGTGACTAGGTTACACTGAAAACAAACTTCACTGTGAGTGACGTGTGTGGGCGTGGGAAAGGCTGAACAGAGGAATGTCCTAATAGGACTCACATTTCAAAATGACTGCTTTGCCTGGTGAGTTCTTAGTAGCACTCTGGGCAAGGGTGGCTGCAGGGAGAGAGCAACTAGGAAGTAAATGTAATAATTAAGGTACGAGAGAGACACTGGCTTCGACCACAGTGACAGCCGAGGAGGTTGTAAGAAGCAAGTCAGTTTTGGGCAGATAAAAAGGCAAAGCCACGCCAACAGGATTTTCTCAGTGATTAGATGTGGGACTGTAAAAAAGTAAATTTTTGAACATCAACAATTGTTCAGAGGTTTCTGACCCCAAATGCTAAAAAATTGAATTGCCTTTATTGTGTAAGAAGCAGGGTTGTGTGAAAAGCAGGGACTTCCCCAGCCATCAGATACACTGATACTTAAGGGATGGACAAAGGAAGACAAGCCGATAAAGACACTGAAAAGGAGGGGCCTGAGAAAAAAGATAAAACAAATAATGAAATACATTTCTACTGAGAGAAAGCAAGTGAATGATACTTCACTTCTGAAGTGGGAAGGTGGAATGTTAATGGCATTTTCTGAGACTATACCATTTAGCCTAAGGGTGAGACAGTGCGTTTGTCTCAAATAAGCAGAATAAGTTTTACTTACAGAGAAGAACTAACGGTTGCTTTGCAGATGGGCAAACCTTCAATACTGTATTGTGCAAAAGAAAAAGTGAAGAACAAAATAATTTAAACTGTATTATCCTTATACTGTAGGGATCTATCACCTCGGGATTGTAATATGGTCAGTCCTGGCCCATGCTTTGTATGAAGTATCAAGACTACACACAATGAAAATCTTTACAGGAAGAAAAAAGACTTGAGATAAGTACACTAGCTTTCTATTGCTTTTGTAACAAATTACCGTAAACAAGTTACAAAAAAACCCACAGAATTTTTTTTTTTTTCTGTCCAGTTCTGGAGTTCAGAAACCCAAACTGGGTTTTACTGGACGAAAATGAAGGTATCTAAAGGGTTATGCCCCTTCTGAAGTCTCTAGGGAAAATCTTTTCCTTGACTTTTTCACATCTGGGGGCTTCTTGCATTTCTAGGCTCATGGCCCCTTTCCTCCATCCCTAAGACAGCAGCAACCCCTGCTTTCTTTTGCATGGTTTCTCTCTGTCCTTAAAACTGGCCCCAGATTTCATACAGAATATCTGAATGAAACAAAGGCAAAGCTTTACTGGTGAGCATGAGATGACAAGTCTTTGCTTCATAATCGTCATAACAGAAAGCAACTGTATCCATCAGCTACCCAGCAGGACCTTGACCTCTTTAAGAACCAGGGATGGGTTGACAGGAAAGGAAAGTGGAGTGTAAACCAGTGCTTCAAAACCAGCAGCTGCCACAAACTGTAGTGACCTTTCAGTGTCCCGCCGACTTCCACTCTCTTGCTTCCAGCAGGAGTTAGAATCTAACATTTCTTTACAATGGCCTCTCTAATTTCTTGGACTCAAGGTAAGTGAACAAAAAACACTAAAGGAGTTAACAGGGAAGTCAGTTGCTGCCATGGAGAGTGCAGAGGCATGGTTGTCTAGGGTGTGGTTAGTGAATCGATACGACATCTAGTCCTCTTGTTAGTGATAGAGTTTGGCAGAATGGAGAAAGTGTGGACCTTTGAGTTAAACAGGTCGTGGTAGGAATCCCAGGCAGTCTTTCTACTTATGTTGTCTTTGGCAAGTCACTTACCTCCTTGAGTCTTAATTCTTTTATTCGTAAGATTAAGAAAAGAATACCTCTTTCAGAGGGTTGCTGTGAATATAAAGGAAGTAAGTTACATTAGGAACCCAGCGGAATGTGTGACATATGGTGGATACTTGATATTAGCATGCCTTCTTTAATGATGGAGTTGAGCAGAATCAGACAGGGTCAATTTGAATTTTGAGGGTAAAGGAGAAGGTAGTTAGGACACATATGTTAATGGGGCACAGGACACTGACAGCAGTGCATGGAGAGGATAAATGCAACGACAGTGATTGGGATTCTCCCAGAGTTCTCTTTGGATGAGCAAAATGATGCCCAAAGGAAATACCTATTGGGAAGTACAGAAGGGGCAGTACCGGGCATACAGCTGAGATATTGGGCCATGCCAGCACACTATATGGAGCCGAGGTTACTTGAGTGACTTAAATACTAAGCAGTGCTTACCTCCCACTCTGCAAAGCTCCGTAGTGAAAACGGCAGTACGTGAGTAGAAAGTGGATAGAAGAAGGAGAAGCAAAGGAGGATGCAAAAGAGGAAGAAAAAGACGAGGAGTCAGAGAGAGAGTATAAAGTAAAGGAGAGTGTGTTTAAAACGGAAATATGTTTTAAAAGTGTTTTGGGCAGTGCATGCTACATACATAGTAGCAAGCCACTATGTATGTGAGTTATTGATATTGGCTGGCATCACTGTTGTTGTTAAGTGAACACACAGTTCACACCCAGGCCTGCCTGCCTTCTAAGCCCGCGTTCATTCTCTTTTCTCATTCAACCTTCTAAGTGCTGAGGGAGGAGTTGAGGTGGAGAAATCAGAAGCAGGAGGTAAACCAGTGTGTGCTTATGGCTCAACGCAGAGTCAATTCAAGTTTTAAATGAATTTTTAAACCCTAGGGTAAAAGAAAATACGAGATGAAGTCAAACCAATTGAGACTCAAGACAATGCAGTAAAGGAGGACAGAATATAGCAAGAGCATTCAAGATATTTACTAAACCCAAGGTCACAGAAGCCTGTTTTTTTGGAGACAGGGGAATGTCACTAAATGGATGAGTTATCTTTATTGGAAAGCACCATATCACATAGATATGTGTTTGGAATGGAAGTAATTACACCAGCCCACTGTCATGTGGGTGTGGGAATTCTTTAAGGTCTACATGACCTCTGACACATGAAGGGCATAGTTATTTATGTGTGCAAAAACTAATGGCTGGATTCATGCCTTATCTTGATGAGAGCTGGGTCATTGCCCATTTTTGAGGCCTTTGAATCCCTTTATCTTCTTCAGTATAAACTTTTTCTTCTCTTCTGGGAAATCTTCCTACTCAGAACTGTGATTTAACGAACTGTCACACAAAGAACTCTCTTCAACATTCTTACTTGTTACACAATAGCCAATTACAGTGCTAATTTCTCCAACAGGGTGATTGGTTCAAGATAGTCGTGAAATCAGCAAAACTAATCAAAACCTTACCTGAGATGTCCTCTGGAAGAGGAGAGGGTTCTACTTCTCCAGAATATCAAGCTGCATGACCCCAACTGTCTGCCAAAAACCACATTTCCTGCTCACCTGATTAATGACTCACCAATATGAAGTCATTTCACAGAGAAGAGTGAATCTGAAATAGAGAGAGACACAGGTGACTCATGACATCCTGCTAACCCGTGATTCCCTGATCCTCCTCCTGATAAAAGCCAGATCAATTCCTGTACTTTCCACCCAATGCAAACCAATAACTCCCTCTTTCCCTTCCCCCATCCCTCCCTTCTTTATCATTCAGTTTGAACTAGGTGTCTATTACTTGAAAGGAAAAGGTTTCTAATTAAATTAGGAGAAAATATTGAAAAATTAATAACATTTATGTTTGGAGGCCTTTGACTCCAACCAGTGGTACAAGGATATATTAAGAGGTATTTTTAGTATCTAAGATGTGGGCAGAGGCGAAGAAAGCTGAAGGCTGCAGTGAGAGAGAGAAAAAAAATAACCTCCAGTTCATTATTTATAATAGTAGAATTCAAGCACTGCATGTATGAGAATTGATGGAACAGCAGAAAGGAATGTTAACTAATTGCCAAGAATTAGGGGTTGAAGGAAACCACCCCATCCTGGTCAAAGCTCTACAGCAGAGAAACCCCTGCCCAGCAGAACAAAACTAAAACCACAATGAAAGGCAGCTCAACGTGAAGGAGTTAGAATTCATCATGACTAGATTAGAACATTTAAAAAAAGTAAATCTCATCCCAATATTAGGCAATTTAGAAGCATGGTGTGCATGGACCGTATGCTCTTTAACCTATCAGTTTGCAATTAATGACAATGAGAAATTCATCACTTCAAAGATAACATAAAGAATATTCTATTGCATTTGTCTTCTTCACTGTCCACCCACAAAAACTGGAAAGTACAGATTGGTTGTGGAAGGTGGGGAACCACCTGAGTCAGTGACAGAGCCCAAGGGCTATAGGCGACAGGTGTTCTGGCTCCAGGGGAATGTGAGCCAGTTCCTAAAGTGCTCCTGAGGCTGAGAGGCCTGCAGCCAGGGCAGTTCAAGCGAGTGTTATGACTGGAGTAACACAGGAAGTGGAAGTGTTTACCCAATGCCTATATCCCCATTGTATCTTGAAAGTAGCTAACTGGTTTTTTGATTTTACAGGCTCATCAGTGGAAGGGATTTGCCTTGTCTCAGATGAGACTTTGGACATTTTAGTTAATGCTGGAATGAGTTAAGACTTTGGGAGACTGTTGGGAAGGCATAATTGTATTCTGCAGTATGAGAAGCATATGAGATTTGGGAGGGGCTGGAGATGGAATGGTATAGTTTGGATATTTGTGCCCACCCAAATCTTGTGTTGGATTGTAACTCCCAGTGCTGGAAGTGGGGCCTGGTGGGAGGTGTTTGGGTCATATGAGTACATCCTTCATGGCTTAGTGTTTTCTTAGAAATAGGGAGTGAGTTCTGGTGAGATATGGTCATTTAAAAGTGTATGGCGCCTCCTCTCCTCCTTGCTCCTGCTCTGGCTATGTGATATGCTTGCTCCTCCATCACCTTCTGCCATGATTATAAGCTTCCTGAAGCCTCCCCAGAAGCCAAGCAGATGCCAGTGCCATGATTCCTATCAGGCCTGCAGAACTGTGAGCCAATTAAACCTGTTTTCCTTATAAATTAGCCAGTCTTAGGCATTTCTTTATAGCAATGCAAGGACAGCCTAATACACAACTCATCTTTTACTACCTTTTTGTTCTCCTCCCTCAGTAACCTCACCTCTACTTAGTAAAACTCACCTGCATACAAGAGGAAGAAAGCTGTATTTGTAATAAATAAGGATGGCAATCACTAACATAATTAAAGCCCTTTATCTTAAGATAATTTCCTAAGAATTTTATATGAATAAACTCACTTTATTTAATTCTGTCAACATACAATCTGTGAAGCAACTAGTATTATTAGTCCCATGGCAATTCATGAATGTATTGGATCATGAACCCAAACCTGTATGACATATTTAGAAAATATAAATTAGAGAAGCATTTATCTTGCTATTGGCTGGCTCTATTTTTTACAAAACAAAACTAAGCAAGAAATTGTTCCAGGCGAGAAGACACTATTTGAGGTGTGCATAATTGACATCGTTATCTGTCAAGTGGCCTGAATAAGTCCGGCAGCTATTATAAGGTCATTAAGAAAAGGGTAGTAATAGGTTCAGAGGCCCAATTGACTGTGTTCTAATCACAGGAGAAGCAGCATCCTTGACAGGGGCCTTGGGGGAAAATGTATTGAAGCAGCAAGAAGTGTTTAATGACCAAATCAGGCAGGGAAATCAGCACCTGTGCCCCAGTGAGAAGGATAATTTCAGCTGGGGATGTGGATGAGCTTAGAGACAGGGTCCCTGTCACCGCTTTATTTTCCTCCTTCTTCCTATTTCTTGATATTACAGCAGCTACAGAAATCTGAGAACTCTCAAAGAGATATCTGAGCAAAGACAGAAGCAAAAGAAAGGAACACACTCTCCTTCCATGAATTAAATAAGTTGACTTGGCTCAAAAGCTCAGTGCATCCTAACCTAGCCCCAGGTCCCCTCCCGCTACTGACACAAGCTGGATTTAGTACACAGATTTTGTACTTTTGTTTATAGAACTCAAACTTTGCTTTGAAGAGGGGTAAGGCCTCAGGAAGAGAAAGGGAAACAGCCTCCTAATTGAAGCAGAATGTAATTGTAAAATCTCCTTTTCAGTAGGCATCTACATGTTCTGTTTTAATGCACCAATTACCTGTGGTCAATTGCCTGCCCAGCAGCCTAGGGAGAGAAGAGCTGGAGAAGAAAATGATATAATGAGAACCAGGCCTAGAACAAGCGTAAGTGCCTCACACAGGAGCATCCTGCTCAGTAGCAAAGAGCTCCTAATTACAACATAGCTGAAATCACCACGGGACGAGGGAGAAACAAAGATGCCGGCGTCCCTGAAAAGTTTCTTCTCCATGCTTTTTTACCCACCTCTTCAGGGTGATTATATTGGTGGTAAAAGTACAATATTTTGGTTATAGTACATTTTGTAAAGAGACCCTGAAACTTCCCAGGCTGAGTAAGCCTGATTCATTCCTGTTCTAAACTCCCACCAAATAATCTTTTTGCAATACATTAAAATCTTTTTAATATATAAATAGATTTATATTTATATTTATATAAATAATATATAAATATATAAAATATTAAAAAATGTTAAAATGTTTTTTAATGAAAATCCTCTTTTATATTTTCATTATTGTCTTAATTGACAAATAAAAATTTTATATATTTATCATGTATGCCATGGTATTTTGATATATGTATACATTGGGAAATAATTAAATCAAGCTAATTAACATATTCATGACCACATATATTTATTTTTTTGTGATAAGAACATTTAAAATCTACTCTGTTAGCAATTTTCAAGTATAGAGTACAGCGTAGTTACCAAGGGCTGGGGGCACAGGGAATGGGGAGATGCTGGTTAAAGGGTAAAAAGTCCCAGTTAGGCAGGAGGAATGAGTTGTGGAGCTCTAGTTTACATCGTGGTGACTAGAGTAAATAAGAATGCATTGTATTCTTGAGGTATTATTATGCCCAGTTTACTAAGGAAGACTGAAGCACAGAGGTTAGGAAATTCACCAAAAAGTACACGGTTTGTAGTGAAAGTTTACCTTTATTAAGGTATACCATGTACCAGACATGGGGATAAGTACTCTACAAGAGACTATACCACTAAAACCACAGCCGTCTTTCAAAGTGAAAATTATTACCATTTATTTATATATTTATTTATTTATTTATTTATTTGAGACAGAGTCTCGCTCTGTTGTCCAGGCTGGAGTGCAGTGGCGCCATCTCAGCTCACTGCAAGCTCTGCTTCCTGGGTTCATACCATTCTCCTGCCTCAGCCTCCCGAGTAGCTGGGACTCCAGGCGCCCACCACCACGCACAGCTAATTTTTTTTTGTATTTTTAGTAGAGATGGGGTTTCACCATGTTGGCCACGATGGTCTCAATCTCCTGACCTCGTGATCCGCCTGCCTTGGTCCCCCAAAGTGCTGGGATTACAGGCGTGAGCCATCGCACCCGGCCAAATTATTTTTTAATCTTTTCCAGCACATGAACAGTCAGAGACTCAGAGTGATTCAATAACTTGTCCAAATTCATACAAAAAGAAAGTGATGTGTGGGTAGAATACCGGCAGGCTAACTCCGGGGCCCTTTCTCTCGAATTTCAGGCTGACTTGCTAGTTCACAGGAGTGGTTTTGAAGAAAGATCTTCTTACTACAAGTGAGGATTTAGTAAATTCAAATACAATCCTATGCAATACACAATTGGATAATGTTAGATATAAAAGTATTTAATGTGTGAATCCTCTAACCTGAAGGTTTTTGGTTGTTATGGTTTGGTTTGTTTTTGGCTGATGGGTTTGCAAGTGTGGAGCTGTTTCAATGCCCTTATACTCATTGACGTAATAGAAGCTTGGGTGGTTTAGAGAACACAATGGAAAGTCCCAGCTCTCAGAGGAAGAGAGCTAGACAGGAATGGGTAAAAGGAGAAGCAGACATATTTTTTGGCACTACTAAGGATTCTGGAAAGAACATATATGTCTAATAGGATCTAGTGAATTTGCTTGCTGGGGGATCTGCAGTGAGGGCCTACTCCCACATTTTCCATGGAAATGTCAACAAAATTCAGAATAATTATTGTGTTTGCTACAACTATGTTTCCTTTTTTAGAAAATATGAGAAAGTAATGAGCCCTGTGTCAAGACTGTTGGGAGCACATGGGGACAACTGATTCTCCCTTTTAAATCAACAGCACAACTGACTCTCAACCTAATTGAAAGTTGAAAAAAAGAACTAGCAATTGCATTAGCTGATCAGTTACACTCACAACCCCCACACCCGTACATAACACATCTACTTCCTCCAAGATTATGATGATGCTGTCTTTAGTTAGCTAACACACATTTCTTTCATTCTAACTGCCTGCCAAGCATTATTATTATTTCCAAGTTTCGAGAATATAACAAACAAAACAGTCAGGATCTTGATCTACATGGAACTTCCACTATAATGAGGAAAGAAAAATACATAGCATAAATAATTTTGGATCTTAATAGATGCAATAAAGGCTTATGTTTTTGATATGGTAAAGAATGACTGAAAGTGAAGAGAACGCTTTAGAGCGGTCAAGAAAAGCTTCTTAAGAGAAAGAGACATTTGACAACAAGAGGGAAAAGCATTTCAAGTAGAGGGAAGACCAGGTTCAAAGGCCTGGAGATGGGAATTGAGCTTGGTGTAGTCAAGTAGACCAGTGTGGTCACAGCACAGCCAACAGTATGGGAAGCAGAAAGATATGGAATTGGAACTTAGGGAGAGGCCAAATCATGTAGTATTGGGTACACAATGATAGGTAGTTTGTATTTTAGTCTTATTGTAATGGATAAGTCATTGTATAGATAAAACTTAATAAATCCTTTGTGAAAAATGAATCAGAGATTGGTATGAGTGGAAACAGGGAATTCAGTATTACAGGTGAGTGGTGAGGTGCAAGACCGTTTACAGAAGTTTCATTTAGGATATAAGTTGGTTACAGATTCTAAAAAAGATTAGTAAAATTGGATGTTGGGTATGAAAAAAACTACTAAGTATGACATTAGGGTTTCAGTTTATCAGACTTAAGTTAAACTGAAATTGATGCTTCTGTAAGTTGAAACTGAGCTAAAAGTAACATGACCTCATGGAATTGAATAAGAATTGAGATCTGCAAGGCCCCATAAAGTCTTCCAGCCTGGGACTGCTGATGTGTATTGTACATATCCTGGAGTTCCAACTAGTCAAGGCAAGAAAATCAATCATAATCCATTAGAATGGAGTCTATGATGGGAGAGAAAAGAGCAAAATTCAAGAAATTATCTAACTAGAGAAAAGAGAACCACTTCTTCTAAGTGGCATTTTAGCCACATTAATGTAACGCTTGACTCAATAGGAACTAACATCTCTTTTTCTTTCAATTAAGTTCAGGAATGAACTGAGAAAACAACTCCTAAGTGAATGTTATCAGTAAATAAAAAATTCATTATCACAACAGTCCTATGAGGTATCATGTCTTAGTCTGTTTGGGCTGCAATAACAAACTATTATAGACTGGGCACCTTATACACAACAGAAATGTATTTCCCACATTTCTGAAGGCTGGGGAGTCCAAGATCAAGGCTGATTCAGCAACTGGTCAGTGCCTGCCTTCTGCTTCATGAACTGCCATCCTCACACTGTGTCCTTACATGTGTGAACGGACAAGGGAGCTCTCCAAAGTGTCTTTTATAAAAACACTAATCCTATTCATGAAGGTTCTTCCCGCATGTCCTGATCACCTGCCAATGGCCTCACTTACTACTACCATCGTGTTGAGACTTAAGATTTCAACATATGCATTTTGTGGCGACGTGTACATTCAGTCTATAGCATTCCACTCCTTGTCTCCCAAAATTTATGTCCATCTCATATGCAAAATATGTTTATTTCATCCTAACACACCTCAGACTTCCAACTTCTTTTAGTGTTAACTCAAAACTCTAAAGTACAAAGTCTCAATAAAATATCAACTAAATCAGATACGGGTGAGACTTGAACTATGATTTATGCTGGGGTCAGTTGCTCTTCAGCTGTGAACCCATACAATCAAAAAAGTTATGTACTTCCAAAATACATGAGCAGGATGGGCATAGGATAGACATTTTCATTTGAAAAGGGAAAAATAGGAAAAAGAAAGAGGTATCAGATTCCAAATAAATCCAAACTATAAAGCAAATTTCATGAGATCATAAGGCTCCAGAATAATCCTCTTTGGTTCAATTCTATATCCCAGGCCTACTGGGGTAGAGCTCTTGCCTTCCAGACCCACTGGGTCAGGGGTTTAGCCTTCTAGACCCACTGAGGTGAAGGTTCTGCCCCAACAACTCTACTCAGCAGGGATTATTTCCCCATGGCTCTGGGTGGCCCCAACCCCACAGCTCTGGGCAGAGACCTTTTTTCTTATTGAAAGCAAGGTGGTGATCTACCCTTTTGAAACTGAGGAGGCATTCCCTGATGATCTGTGAATCACTTTCAGGGGCATTCTTCCCTGGTCTTGAAGAATAGCTCATGTTCTCAGATGAACAGCTTCCTGGTCCTGTCCTGTAAAATCCAAGAAGTCTGACAGTCTTCCTTCATTTTTTCTCATCTCCTTCTCCTTCAGTTTGATTTCTTCCTGGATTTACTTGTTAAGTCTACGGTTCACACCCATACTGATCCTTCTATCAAAGGGATGCTCATTCACACCCTAAGTGTTGTAATTGTTTACAATATGGCTAGATTAAGAATTTTCAAAATCTTTAAGTTCTACTTATGGTTTGCTTAAAATTTTATTTTTTTTCTTAAAATTTCATTGCTTTAACATCACTCTTGGTATTAAAATCTATTTTAGGCAGGGTTTTCCAAAGAAACAAGAGGCCTGGGATGGGTAAAGAGGTAGGGAGTGTGATGGTTAATATTAAGTGTCAACTTGACTGTTTTGAGGGATGCCTAGATGGCTGGTAAAGTGTTGTTTCTGGGTGTGTCTGTGAAGGTGTTGCCAGAGAAGAGGACATTTGAATCAGTGGACTGGGAAGGGAAGACACACCTTCAATGTAGTTGGGCCCCATCCAACTGGCTGCCAGCATGGCTAGAACAAAGCAGGTGTAAGAAAGGGGGATAGATTTGCTTGCTGAGTCTTCTCACACTCTCTCTTCCTGTGCTGAATGTTTGCTTCCTCTCCTCCTGCCTTTGTGATTTCCATAAGATACATCTATAATCCTGACCTCCTAAAAACTATACACCCTAACTTCAAAATGCTATGAAATGATTGAGTCTAACTAAGAAATATGTACTATAAGCATATACTAAGAAATGGGTTCTGTTATGGATACAAGTGGTAGGATTCAGAAATACTGGCCCATAAGCAAGGGCAAGGCCCCAAGGTTTATAAAATCATATGTGACTTCAGAGATTTCAGGCTACA